TGATCGGCAAATGATCGGCAAATGATCGGCAAAATGATCAACAAATGTGATAATATGAAGTATGTCCACCCTGCTGCACTGAGATACAGTATGCCGATTACCATCGCCGTCAAAGTTGGCTCTAAGAAATGCCGAAATACGTATTTGCATTTTACAAAGCTAAATATACTTGATAAGGCGCCATTGAGAATGCTCGTTCCTGTCGATTTTGCAGAATTGAAAAATGTAAGCGGCTGTATATGATCAACTTTCACCAAAAAATCCACTCTTTTATATTTGTCAATTCGTTTTATGTAACGCTTGCGAGTTTGTTCCTATTAAATGCAATCAATCAATAAATAAATTAATATGAATCAAATGAATAATACACCGATGTAAGAATTTATCACGATAAGCCTCATCCAAAATAGAAAATAAACTTGCAATAATATGCGACTTAAATTCGTTGTTGATATATTATCGATAGTAAATGAATCAGATAATAGTCATTTTCAAATAAGGAAATATAATGTCTATGATCATTCGGCAATTACGCACCAGTAATATTTCTGTAAATAGTATTGAAGCTTATGATCCAATATAGTTTTATAACAGTCTTAAGCATAAAAAAATAACCACCACGATCAAACATTGAAAAAAATAAATCTACAATTTTACAATTTTACGCAAGAAAACATCAAACTTTTTACAGCATGAAACATCAACAAACAAAAGTGGATAGTAACATCTAATTTACACTTTGTACAACAAAATAACACGCTCAACGTTTATAACCACAACCATGGTCTCGACAGTGAAAACGATGGCAACGACAAGACAAAGATTAGGAAGGGAATAGACGTAGTATTTAAATAGTAAAGGTAAGTTCATACCCATGCTTACACATTATACTAGATCACAAGTGTCACTGAATTATTTAGAGTTTCTTGTTTCTCTAATCAATCGAAACCATTATTTTACTAAAATATAGATACAGTATATTTGGATTTTCTCTCTCGTCGTAAGAGCATTTGGAGGAATGAACTGTTTGGTCAATTTTTTGGGATATTCTTGATGTATCTCATGAATCTGTTTAGAAAACATTCATCATTGGATTACTTAGAGTTTTGTTGTTTCTCTAACCAATAACAATTATTTTTTTATTTTATATGTTGGATTTTCTTTAATTTAAAGTAGGTTCCTATTTCAGCATGATCGATCACTTGTTGAAGGAGCATCTTAGCAATATACTTTTGCTCACAACTAATATGTTAACTATTCAAGTTTATTATAGATTTATACCCATGTGCAATCAGGTTTCATTGGAGCATTGTTAAGAACTTAATACTT